GTGTGTGTGTGTGTGTGTGTGTGTACAGGAAAATGCATTTGTACGAAGAAAGAGAGGATTATTTCAAAATATTGCTTTCATTCACGTGCTTCACACTCAATGCATGCTATCTCTCTCCATGTTTTAATTTAATTTAATTAAGCTCAAAACGAATGATGATAAACGTAAAAACAAAATAATTCAACGATTTCGCAATATTAGTGTTTATTAGTTTTGCAAAACTTTTCATGTCTCATTTTTACAAGCGGTATAATCGTACCAAATGCGGTAACATAATAATACCTGATATTTTCGATATTTGTTTATCTTTGCGAGCCACTTTCTTCACGTTCCTATATATGTAGTTAATTGATTCAGCTTTGTTTTCTACGATCATCAACAATTTGACGCTCGTACATGTGAATCAACATATTTTTCGTGCCGTATGTCGAGAATGCTTGACATTTCGAGCAGGAGGATACGCCCCCGGGATAAATTACAAGTTTCATGGTAATAAACATCGTGTCTGGACTGAAAGTATTGAATTTCTCTATACGGTGGCCGTGTCGCGTCGTTTATCGGACAGCAGACGTTAGCAACAGCTGGAATCACGCGATAATGACGTAAATCGATGGACAGCGAATATTTTAATGTTTAATTCATGGTTTTTTCTTGAAGTAGGCGTATCTTAAAATAATTTCTATAAAGGAAACAGATTTTTAATAACTTTCTCTTTCTACTGCCCCATATGTGATCACATAATTTTCATGTATCTGCTTCATAAATCTATTATACTATTCCGGGATTTTAAGCACGCATGCACTTTGAATCTGATCTATCATTTTTGTTGAATTTTCGTAAAAAAAAACTAAGTTTCAATAAAAAAATTAATATCTGTCTAAAATGTTAAACAATCATGGAAAGCGAAATCGATTCTATACAGTTGACTGTATAGCGTTTTAATATCAGTTCTTGTTAGACTGACATTTCGAATATTGTTCTTTGAGAGAAATTCTACTGAAGTGCAAATGCAAAGTGCATTCCATACCTTCAATCTTGAAACAAGATCTATCTCGTTTGAATGTCCTTGCTATGATCAGACGTCAATACATTGACAAATCGTCTACCTCGTGTAAGCTAAGCGAGTGCTCCCATTATGAGCGGTGATTGTCGCCAAGCCTTCAACGTGCACTTAAAAGTCGTTATTTTTTTCTCTCGAAGTATCTGCAGCTATGTCCCGGAGCGGCAAAATCTATTTTCGCTGTCGTTACGAACTGTAATTCGATTAAAGCGCGGGCCGCTCGTGTCAAGGAAACCGCCCGGCCGCCGCGTCCTCTATTAACCTTATTGAGGCGAACTGGGCGACAACCTTGCTTTATAATTCCGTAATCCTATATTGCAACTCGATTCGTGCCAGTTGCTTTTTCGCCATGAAATCAGACGTAGATTTGGCCCGATCTTTTCGTCTATCCGGCGTTGATAAAATAGGAAAACAAAGATGACGATACGAAATTGTTACAAAATGCATCTGCACGCAGAAAACGTAAAAAATGGAGTTTTCGTCTTATGCTAAAAATTAATATAAAAAAACCTTCAAAAAATTAAGGATAGCAAAACAATCGTGACAAGATAGATCTGCAAAAACGTATATTTTATATAATATTATCTCCAAAACTGATTTATAAAAATAATCCCGCTTTCAAACTTTGTATTCAGCTAATTAATTTTTATAAGTAAAAAGTGACTTATGTAAACATATAATTTAAATATAATATTTTTAAATTTAACATAATTGTAATATAAATGATTTATTATATGCCAATCAATGTGCGTAAAATGTTTCATTAAATAGCAAGAGAGAATAATCTTTTTAAATCAAGATATCAGTTCTTGTTAAATTAACCTCATTTATATCAATTAGAATAATTAATGCATATTAGGATAATCGTAGAATTAGCGTAGGGATTTTCGAACAATAGTGTTCGTTACTGATGGCTGGCTCATATGTCAAGGTAATCCTCTCGGATTTTAACCTCCGCCTCTCTAATGTCAGAACTAGCTAAGCCTTGCGACTTCCTGGGCAACCTTGGTCTCGTTCATCGCGAGCGATTAAATGGGACGTGATTTTTGTGAACACAGAGCGACACATTAGCATAGTAAATGAAATAATTTCAAAGTCACGAACAAATCGAAAATATGTATAAACGTCGTCGACTTATTTAGCTTCAATATAACTCCTCTGCTTTCCAGTGAAAATAATAATAAATATTAATAGGAAAAATATAGCGAATAATTTTACGTAAACTTTTTTAATATAAAATACAGTTTTAATACCGGTTTTAATACTCTAAAAATGCGTTTAATCGAACTTTTTATTTCTCTTCTCGCTTACACGCACAAATTTTCAGCAGTTACCGTTTTTTTTGTATGACTGAATCATGCATAGCAGTGGACACGCATACATTAAATTGTGACATATCTGGGAAAGTTTCATCGGTTGGTGTCACCGATAATTTGGCGAGGGGCGTGTAATTGATTTTATTTATAGCGCACGCGATGTATATCACTCCAACTTTTTTACGCTTTTAACATATGTATTTTCCTAATGTTTGTCGCAATTATTAAAGATATGCAGAGAAAGTTCATTTAGATGATATACGAGTAGTTATTTGTGTTGCGTAAATTGGCGTTATGTAATTTATATGTAACAGACATTTCTATCTTGCTGGTAAAAATGTAAAGCTCATTTTAGACAATATCTATAATTCGCATCAAATGTTGGTAAAGAATTTTATTTTTTTAATAATTTTGTACACCGAATCTCTTAATATATACATATATTGCAACATATTTTATATGTATATATGAATGCATTCGTTCTTTCTTTAAATGTTTCATTACGCAACAAAAATTATGAACAGAATCTTTATCTTGAATTCTGACACAAATTATGTATATATGTCGAAAGTGGGATTAAGACTTTTCATCGGTATATTTCATCAAAGCCGAATGCGATCACGGTGCGAAACGATAATTAATTAATTGAGTTGTGAAGAGGCAGTTAGGTAGTTAATAATTCCACATCGCTTGACGTGCAGGCC